TTGTAAGGGGGGGGGGGGGGGGGGGGGTAAACCAGACGCATAACATCCAAATTGCAAGATGTCAGAATCCTGTTGTACACGCCATTGGTCAGGTTGCACCTGGAGTCTTGTGTGCAGTTCTGGAGGCCCTCACTTCAAAAAGGATGCGGACAGAATGGGGCTGGTGCAGAGGATGATCAGGGGCCTGGAGACCAAAAAGCCCTATCAGGAGAGGCTGAGGGACTTGGGTATATTCAGTCTGGAGAAGAGGAGGTTGAGAGGGGACATGATTACTCTCTTTACATATTAGATGGACTGTCACTTAGAGGAGGGCGGGGAGCTTCTCCTGTTGGTGGCAGAGGAGAGGACTCGCAAGAATGGGTTTGAATTAAGGGTGGGAAAGGTCTTAGGAAAAACTTTTTTTCTATTAAGTGTCTTGCAACAGTGGAATCGGCTGCCTGGGGAGGGGGTGAGCTCCCCCTCACTGGCTGTCTTTAAGCAGCGTCTGGACAAACACTTGTCAGGGATGCTCTAGGCCAGTGATGGCGAACCTTTTAGAGACCGAGTGCCCAAACCGCGACCCCAAAACCCACTTATTTATCGCAAAGTGCCAACACGGCAATTTAACCTGAATACTGAGGTTTTACTTTAGAAAAAAACAACTCACACATTAACTTAAGACGATCCAAACAAAGTAAGGGAAGCAATCCCAAATGCTTTCATTTGCTTAAACTTATTTGGCAGAGAATTCGACACTTTAATGATGGTCTGGGCCTGGCTGGGGCGATGGCAAGCGTGCCCACAGAGAGGGCTCTGAGTGCCACCTCTGGCACCCGTGCCATAGGTTCGCCACCACTGCTCTAGGCTGATCCTGCACTGAGCAGGGGGTTGGACTAGATGGCCTGAAGGGCCCCTCTGTCAGGTAGCCCTGTCATGGATCTGGAATGTGTGCGGGTATTCTCCTACTCGTTCTCAGCTCTACCCTGCTCAGCTACTGTGCGCTATCTTATGCTTGACCTTGTGGATGATCCAGCTGCAGTTTCTCGGCTGGGAAAGTCAACGGCTTGTGCTTGCTTGCTAGCTTTTGCGTGCACGAGACGTAACCATTGGCTTATGCATATGGGGGGGGGGGGTGTTTGATTTTACTATGTCAGAGGCCCTTATACAGACGGCCATTCCTGACACAAGCTGTACACTTGTTCTTTAGAACTGAATCCACTAATAAACAGTGATCTTCTTATGAAGCCCTGTGTGGTGTGAACTGACTAAAGAGCCTGACACCCTCCGAACTCTGTGATTCTATTCTCTTTCCCCACTGGTTTCATGTAGATGTGAAACAACACGGGGGAGGAGATAAATGCCAAGGGGACGAACGGCATTTCTGGAAATGGCTGGTCAGGTGAGACCAGAGTCCCTGAAGCACTTGTACCCCACCCCAGCCAGCCTCTCTAGACGGATAAACCCACAAGAGGTCCATGAAAGTCAACAGGAACACAGCTCCCAGTCTCCATCTCCTAGCAAAGGAAGTCAATCCGGGTCACTGCCAATGTGACTCCCATCCCAAACCCAAATCTGAATCGAAATGGGTCTAGATCAGAGATTCCCCAACGTGGTGCCCAGTGCCCACCAAGTGTTTTAGGAAACAGGCGGGGCCGGGTGGGGCCTTTGCCCAGCAAAGCTTCTGAGCGGCCACTGGAGATTTGATTGATTGTGCAGGTTTTTTAGAATGTTGCTTTGGAAGCAGTTGCCACCACGGGACAAGGATCTTCACTGTGTGACTGAAGGTAAGCAACAGCAGCCATTGTAGGGTGGGCTCTGCCTCAGAGCCAGATTGGTGTAGTGGTTAGGAGCGCAGACTCTAATCTGGGAGAATTGGGTTTGATTCCCTCCGCCACACGCAGCTGCTTGTGTGACTTTGGGTCAGTTACAAGTTCTTTCAGAGCTGTTCTCTCACGAGCAGTCCTCAAAAGAGCTCTCAGCCCCACCGACCTTACAGGGTGTCTGTTGTGGGGAAGGGAGGGGAAAGGAAAGGGATTGTAAACTGCTCTGAGACGCCTTAAGGTAGCGAAGGGCAGGGTATAAATTCAATCTCCTCTTCTCGAAGAGTCCTGGAGAGGAAGAGCTGACGTCATCCAGCCAAGCCAAGCCGAGTGGGAAGAATGTCGTCAGGATCACGTCTGAGTTGCAACTGAACAAATCCCCGTCGGCTGCAAAACGTGTGCTATGTAAAAGATTATATGTGTTGTCCTCGCTTACCCCTATAAAGAATTGTTAGTCCCTTGTGAAATGAGGAACTGTAAATCGCTCAGAGCCAGCAGCTCTGCAAGGATTTGAGCGATCAATAAATTGAAAGATTATTATTATTATTTATTATTATTATTCTCCTTCTTCTATGGCAGCCATTTTCTGGTTGCGCCCACCATGCTGTGTCAGAATTCCAAGGCTGCCCACAGGCACACAAAAGTCAGGGACCCCTGGCTTAGATAATCCAGTTCTTCTAAAACTGCCTGGAACTTTGGTTTTCTTGGGGTCTCCGGCGGCGGCATGGAGAGAACAGCACAGTGAAGCTGCTCCTTTTCAGAGAAGTGAACTGAAACAAAGACAGCTGTTGCGCAGCTAAAATGTCACCCTCGTTTCCTTACCTTTTCGTTTTTCCTTCTGCTGATGATTCTGTCCAGACCATTAAAAGCACCAGAAGCTACAAAGAGGATGTTGGTCGTGTCGACTTGCACGGTCTCGCCACGTAACTTACGGGAATTCTTCTCGGGAACGTTCACGATTGTACCTTCCAGTAGCTTTAACAAGCCCTGAGTAAAAATGGAAGAGCCGGTGAGGAAACGTCTTCGTACTCAAGACAGAATGCTTATTATGTACACAGTCGAATCGGTGCCACGAGGCGAATGCATATGTCAGCTAGGAGGACTGTATTTTTGTTTCATTTCTTCCCCACTTCACACCTTATATTTTTAAAATTAATTAATTTATTTATATAATGTTCTCTTCTCCATTTTATCCTCACAACAGCCCTGCAGGGTAAGTTAGGCTGCGAGTGCGCGGCTCACCAAAAGTTACCCAGTATGCTTCCACAGCAGAGTGGGGATTCGAATCTTGAAGCCAGTCCAATTACTTCCAAGGAGATATGGCAATTACAATCCAATTACTTCCAAGGAGATATGGCAATTACAGTCCAATTACTTCCAAGGAGATAGGGCAAGGATTACGCTGCCTGCTACAGAGTTAGCTGATTGTCTGTAGGGGGTCACGGAAGGTAAGAAAAGTCCCCCCCAAAAGAACAAGGGATTGGATCCAGGCTAAATTAATTTTATTATTCCCTATCTCTTCAACCATACGTTGGTAGGATTCGGAGAAGGAAAAAAACAAAAACAAATCAATAAATAGTTAAATATTAGAACTATTTAAAAACACGTGCAAGAAATTCAGCAACAGCTTGCAACCATCCATGTAATTTGAAAACAACAATTTATGTGCTGGAACGCTGAACGGCAGTTATTAATAAAAGTTCCCAATATATCACTGTATAGGCTTCCCTTTCTTGTTTTGAAATCCTTCTGGTCTATGCTAAGCTCTGACTGAATAAACACTATTCTTGTTTCTAACTGGTCTTTGACGTTGTAACTGAGATTCTAAGTCTATTTTCCTGTGCCTGGCTGGCTGCACGCTGCCATTGAGCATTGAGAGTGCATCTCTGAGGAGGTGCTAGTGTGTTCTGTCCCAGAGGCTAACCTAAAGGTTTGGAATCCCTCCCTTGGGGGAAAGCCGGGACTAGTTAAAAAGGGATTCTGGTGGCATATTGTTCTGAAATCCAGAGAGGATAGCCTACCTTTCTGGGTTGTTGTGTAATGTACTGAAAAAGTATAGGCTTCCCCTCATTCCTGGACAGGCTTGAGGGGCAGAAACCTATACAATCATGCCTGGCTTTAACAAACAAGGGACGATATAACAATGTGTGTGACACAGCTTCTATTATGCCACACTTTTTTTCCATCCAGGGAATGGCTCTAAGCCTTCCAATGTATTCAGCTACTGGAGGCGAACTGCATCTTGCTAATACAATTAAACATCTATATTTAGGGGTTTGCATAGTGATTAAATAGTTAGCAAACAATAGTTGGCAAGTAGTGGGAATACACCCATAATATAGAGCAGAAACTTCCTATACAAATCACCAAGCAGCCCAAACCAATCTTTCAATTAAATAACTTTGCCCATTGTATTCAATAAGCAATCAGAATAATAATTAACTAAATTATCATCTGTCAAAAATCCCAACTCATTTTACCAAAAGAAGCATTAAGGCTCGATGATAAAAATGAGTCTTGCCTCATAAGGCATACTATATCAACTAGGGGGTTCTAGCAAGAATATTTTAAACCACATCTCGATAGTCTATTTCCATGTAGTCAATTGTATGGAGCACAACCCAATTTCTAATCTAATTACCGAATTGGAGACACAACTGGGAATTCCCAATATACTTCTGGAAAAAAACCATTCGCAGTCTCTCAAGGCCTTTAACAATCATGTGCTGTCCTAACGGTGCCCCATACAAGACTGCGGGTAATAATTTAAGAGTTATATAATTGGAGCAGTGCACCAGACTAAATTAACTCCTTTCCACTAATTCCACCTTCCTGAGCTGAAGATACCCTTTCTGTTAGTCTTTGGGGTCCTCTATTCACCAGGGCTGCGGTGGCTCAAGTAGTTAAGACACTGAACTGCAGACTGGAAGGTCAGTAGTTCAGCAGTTCGAGACCCGAGTGCCGCGTGACAGAGTGAGCTCCCATCTCTGGCCCCAGCTCCTGCCAACCGAGCAGTTTGAAAGCAAGAAATTGCAAGTAGATAAACAGGTACGGCTTTGGTGGGAAGGTAACAGCGTTCCGTGCACCTCGGCGTCTAGTCATGCCGGCCACATGACCACGGAAATGTCTTTGGACAGCGCTGGCTCTTCGGCTTGGAAACGGAGATGAGCACGGCATCCCTAGAGTCGGATTCGACTGGCTTTTGAGCCAAAAGAATACAACTTCTCCGAATGTCGGCAGCCCCGACATCTGGCACAGCTGTCCTATCCCCCTCCATCCATTTCCACCTTCGAGTGGCTCCGACTGAAGATACGGTCTCAACCATCCCACTCAGGGAAACAAGGCACTTCTAGCCTCACCGGAGAGCAATTTAGAGCTCAGCTGTCTTAAAACAAAAACGAAACGGAGATAAAAACCGCTTTCTCTGCCTCGAGACGGCAACGCTCGTGATACCTACTTGCTGGACTCCTTCTCCTCCCACATCCCGCAACTGGTGAATGCCTGGCACGCTGCCAATCTTGTCCACTTCGTCCAGGAAAACAATTCCTGTAAATCACAGGCAATTAATGGGAGGGGCATTCTGAGCTGTCAAAGAGAAGCACAGGCTGTGCGTGGCAAAGGTCGGCAGAGCGACGCTGCTGCAGCCATATTGCAAAATGCTGCCTGTTACGAAAGCTGTACAATACAAAATAAAGAGCAGTGGCACAGCAGTGCGTGCTAACCACGAAAGAAATGCATGTGCCAAAAGTCAATTATTAAAAATTATATATATATATTTATTGATATTTCATTTTAAATTAGTCACTGTAACGCAACACATTTTCCTATGAAACGTATCACAGGTAAGTTGACAAGTAGAAATTCAACAGGTAAAGTTTCTTCATTGACGCCTTTGTAATAACCGTTTCAAAAGAGTCCTTTTAACTCTGAGGATGTGTTTCCTCACATAGAGTGTCTCTGCCCGCCGACTTGACGGACCTCCGGTTATAAATCAGTTTCAATATTTTTTTCAAGAATCATGCTGGATTCAACATTTCATAGATACGTGTCTACATCCACAAGGTATCATTCAGATACAGCAATCCTCAGTGACTTCCAATGGAAAATCAATCATTTTTTGGAACCTCCCTTCAAAAATCTGAAGCATGTCTCCACGATACCATTTTCATTAGGGGGAGGAGAGGTTCCCAAACAAAATAAATTCAGCCAGTGAAATAAACAGAATATTTGTTATGTTACAGTGAGTAATTTAAAATGAAATATCTATAAATATATATTTGTTCAGTCGCACAGTCGAGTCCGACTCTTCGCGACCCCATGGACCAGCTCCCGCCAGGTCCTCTTGTCTTCCGCCGTCCTCTGAAGCTGGCTCAATTTCATGTTCGTTGCATCGATGACACTGTCTAACCATCTCATCCTTTGCCATCCCCGTCTTCTTTGACCTTCGACCTATATATATAAATATATATAGAATTTCTAATAACTGATTTTTTGGCACATGCATTTCTTTGTTATGTAAGCTGTGCATGAACAGTCTCAACATGGCGATGAACTGGATTAAAAAGATATACTAGACAACAGCACTGCTAACCCCTGATTCCGAATTCCGGCAGCATCTCAAGTGACAGTTTAGTACATTCTTATGCTGCGTTGGGAAGGTGGGTGGAGAAGACAAGCCCAGCCTTACCTTGTTGAGCTTTTTCTACGTTGTAGTTGGCATCCTGCAGGAGCTTTGCAACGACAGACTCGATGTCTTCGCCGACGTAACCCGCTTGAGTCAAAGTGGTGCAGTCACAGATTGCGAAAGGGACGTCGAGGCATTTGGCGAGAGTCTGAGCCAGCAAGGTCTTACCTAGGTTTTAATTTTTTAAAAAAAGAAAACCCTAACATTCACAATCAAAGACATTCTTTGCACAGTGCACATCTGCCCCTCCCAACCAATGCTCCTTCTAAGCCATGGAGCCTTGTGAGCAAAAATTCTACTTTGTGAGTGACTGGCACTAAAGTTGTGAGCAAGCGATTGTGCTGCTGCATACATTAGTTTGCTCTGGAGCCCCTCCTTCCTGAGCAAAGACAAAAAGGTGTGAGCCGGAGGCTAAGAAACTGTGTGCTAGCTCACACTAACTCAGCTTAGGGGGAACACTGCTCCCAACTATTACTGTTGGTGCACTTCCACTTTTGCTATAGTAAGAAATAAAGGCAAGAAAGAAAAAGAAAAGAAAATGGATCGCATGTTCAGTTTTTAATCCACTGGTATTTACTGTATATCTAGGTTGGCACTTAAAAGTATAACACGATTTTAATCCAGCCAAGCACTGTGGATTTCAGATGTGCATTTATTGTTTGCTATGGAGCACACCCATTTTAGGGTTCAGTAAATAACTAGTCTGTAGCCAAAGGAAACATGCATAAGAAAGGCCAAACAAGCCCACTGTAATTGACTTGTTTTTGAGCCCCGGCTGGGAAGGAAAATGGAACGTAAGCGCTGTGAATACATAAGATACAAAGTCCATTGGTTTATTTGTGTTTTGTCTGGAAGGCAGATTAAAGCATTATCAAAGCCCTGTGCACGTGTGCGCTCTCTCTCTCTCACACACACAGAACCAGATACGCTGGAGCACATGTATCACGTAAAACGCTTTGCCTTTCGGCTGTCGCAGCCGCTTGGGGTTTCAAGGTGAAGCCCTCCTCCCTTCCCCACCAGCTGTGCCACACTCATTCATCAGTTGCTGTTAAATCCCACACGGTTCATGGTCTCTGTGTACAAAATCTGTAATCCGGCCTTGGCGGAACACTTTCTATTTTGGTCCAGGAACAAGCTGCACCAGGACTCGAAGGCTTTAGGCAGGATGGCTCGATCTGAGAGAGCAGAAACTGAAAGACGTGGAGTGAAAATAGATTCAGGAGGGCAGCCATCCTGGCCTGAAGCAATAGAAGAAGAGGAAGAAGAAGAGGAAGAAGAAGAAGAGGAAGAAGCAGAGGAAGAAGAAGAGGAAGAAGAAGAGGAGGAGGAAGAAGCAGAGGAAGAAGAAGAAGAAGAAGAAGAAGAGGAAGAGGAAGAAGAGGAAGAGGAAGAAGAGGAAGAAGAAGCAGAAGCAGAAGAAGCAGAGGAAGAAGAAGCAGAGGAAGAAGATGAAGAGGAAGAAGCAGAGGAAGAAGAAGAAGAAGAAGAAGAGGAGGAAGAGGAAGAAGTAGAGGAGGAGGAGGAGATCTGATTCGCACCCCGCCCTTCACTACCCAAAGGAGTCTCAGAGCAGCTTACAAACGCCTTTCCTTTCCCCTCCCCACAGCAGACACCCTGTGAGGTCGGTGGGGCTGAGAGAGCTCTGACAGAAACCACTCTTTTTCAAGAACAGCTGTGCCAGAACTATGGCTTGCCCAAGGTCATCCAGCAGGTGCAAGCGGAGGAGTGGGGAATCAAACGTGGTTCTCCCAAATTAGAGTCTGCGCACTTAACCACTACGCCAAAACCAAGTTTTATTCTGGGTATCAGCTTTCGTGTGCATGCAGTCTGTTCAGTCTGTTCAAGAGTGGCTCAGGGCTATTGTAGCTGATGCCGGCTTGCCTAGGTTGCAAAAGCAGTGGCTGTACTGGTCCCAATGACAAAACAGTTTGGGGTTAAAAAATAGGGAAATCTTCATAAAGTAGATGAGCTCTGCTGTAGAGCACGTGAGCAGCACCTTTTCAAGGTGCGAACAGAACGCTTCTTCAGGCAGGGAACAGCAGCAGTTTTCTCCGCAGTCCTGCTTGAAGAGGCATCTTGTTTTACCTAACTGCTAGTTGTACCACCTAGTATTCCCTCGAGTTAGTGTGAGCGAGCTCACAGATTTTTGTCTTCGCTCAGGGAGGATGGCTCCAGAGCAAAACTATTTTATGCAGGAGCCCAATCGCTCGCTCACAACATTAATGCCAGTCGCTCACAGAGTAGAATTTTTGTTCACAAAACGCCACAGCTCAGCGGGAGCATTTGCTGAACAGTAGCAATCTTTGGATCCTATTGCTAAAAAGTACCAGCCAAATAGCCCCATAATGCCGGGGGGTTGGAAGCCAAGCAGGGTTGGCCACTGTTAATACTTGGATGAGGAAGGTGATGGCAAACGTCCGCTGTGCAGAGGAAGGCGATGGCAAACCACTTCTGCTCATAGCTTGTCTTGAGAACTCCACAAAGTGGAACTTCAGGGGTCACCGTGAGTTGGTTGTGACTCAACAGCATACTTAGCAGCCCTAATAGCCCATCCTAAGCCTGACCTTAGCAGAGACTGGAAGCTAAGCAGGACAGACCATGGTCAGTACTTGGACGAGAGACCACCTGGACAGACTAGAGTTGCTATGCAGAGGTGGGCGGTGGCCTCCTCTGCTGCCTTGAAACCCCCCTGGGGTCTTCGTGGGTCAGCCATGACTCAACGGCACAGTTTGGTGCAGTGGTGAAGTGCACGGACTCTCATCTGGGAGAACCGGGTTTGATTCCCCACTCCTCCACTTGCAGCTGCTGGATGACCTTGGGCAAGCCATAGTTCTGTCAGAGCTGTCCTTGAAAGAGCAGATTCTGTCAAGAGCTCTCTCAGCCCCGCCTACCTCACAGGGGTGTCTGTTGTGGGGAGGGGGAGGGAAAGGAGTTTGTAAGCCACTCTGAGACTCCGAGTGAAGGGTGGGGTATAAATCCAATCTCTTCTTCTTCTTCTAATCTGGGAGAACCGGGTTTGATTCCCCACTCCTCCACTTGCAGCTGCTGGAAGACCTTGGGCAAGCCATAGTTCTGTCAGAGCTGTTCTTGAAAAAGAGCAGTTTCTGTCAGAGCTCTCTCAGCCCCACCTGCCTCCCAGGGTGTCTGTTGTGGGGACGGGAAGGGAAAGGAGATTGTAAACGGCTCTGAGAATCCTTTGGGTAGTGAAGGGTGGGGTAGTTTGGTGTAGTGGTTAAGTGTGCGGACTCTAATCTGGGAGAACCGGGTTTGATTCCCCACTCCTCCACTTGCAGCTGCTGGATGACCTTGGGCAAGCCATAGTTCTGTCAGAGCTGTGCTTGAAAGAGAAGATTCTGTCAGAGCTCTCTCAGCCCCGCCTACCTCACAGGGGTGTCTGTTGTGGGGAGGGGGAGGGAAAGGAGTTTGTAAGCCGCTCAGAGACTCCGAGTGACGGGCGAGGGTATAAATCCAATCTCTTCTCTTCCAAAAAAATGTACATTCTTCCAAATAAGATTTCAGTTCTCTTTGTGCTACCTTTACCAGCCTGCGCGATACGCAATCTGTCCGCGATGCCCTCTTGTACATACCTGATCCAGTTGGTCCAAGCAGTAAAATGTTACTCTTTTCAAGCTTGATGTCGTCGTGGGCAGAGTCCAATACTTCCCCTCCCCGTTTCTCCTGGGGCATTTGTTGGTTCACCTGCTGCTGCATCGACGCCCCTAAAGCGTTGCCGTGGGGACTGATACCAGCGATCTGGAGAAGTTCTGAAATTCAGAAAGGACGGCCTGACTGAGCACCCACTTAGCCCCACCTAGAATAGTACGGAACAGGCACAAGAACTGGTTTTAACAGGGTCCCCCCCCCCCCAATGCAACTCCAAGAATCGTTCCATGGACATGAAAGTCGTAAGAGACCACAGCACTGAAGGGGGCCATGCAATACAAGGTGAGAGGAGGATCTGGGTTTAGATAAACGTTTTGGAATGGCCAGCGCAGGGACACGGGAGGGGCTGTGGCGCAGGGGAAGAGCCTCTGCTTGGCATGCAGAAGGTCCCAGGTTCAATCCCCGGCATCTCCAGTTAAAAGGACCAGGCAGTAGGTGATGGGAAAGACCTCCGCCTGAGACTCTGGAGAGCTGTAAAGAAGGGCTGTGGCGCAGGGGAAGAGCCTCTGCTTGGCATGCAGAAGGTCCCAGGTTCAATCCCCAGCATCTCCAGTTAAAAGGACCAGGCAGTAGGTGATGGGAAAGACCTCCGCCTGAGACTCTGGAGAGCTGTAAAGAAGGGCTGTGGCGCAGGGGAAGAGCCTCTGCTTGGCATGCAGAAGGTCCCAGGTTCAATCCCCAGCATCTCCAGTTAAAAGGACCAGGCAGTAGGTGATGGGAAAGACCTCCGCCTGAGACTCTGGAGAGCTGTAAAGAGGGGCTGTGGCGCAGGGGAAGAGCCTCTGCTTGGCATGCAGCAGGTCCCAGGTTCAATCCTTGGCATCTCCAGTTAAAAGGACCAGGCAGGAGGTGATGTGAAAGACCTCTGCCTGAGACTCTGGAGAGCTGGAA